TCACTACCAGGTAATTTCTCATGGGTCGTCCTCAAGAGCCTCCACCACAAGATAAAAAGAGTCCTCAAGGAGATGATTCATCTTTCAAACTCTAAAACGGTGCAATGATACTACTCGCTTCACTATGTTTCGTAAGGGATCAAGAGTTTCATCAGAAAGAGGATACCACCTGAGGATCTTTCACCAACTGTTTCAGCCCCGAAACAACAATTAATTGGAGATACTGATCATAGGTCTTTTGCATCTTCAATCAATTGCACCATATGTAAATCTAATAAGGGTAGTTTATATACCCTGTTATATCCTTTCATCAGTTTATTATGAAATAAAACAGTGTTTGTATCTCTAAGTCAAAGCCTAGAATAGATTTTGTCATATATATAGTGGAGATCTCTCTTCTCTTTTACTTGATTCTATAAATCTTTGGATGTATAAGTCTGGAATTGGGCTTATTTTAATCTCCAACTATAATTTAATTTCTTCATGTGTGATACATTGGCCTAGAGTACTATTTCTCTCCACCGATTATTGCTTGCTGAGACATTAATTTTCATATATTTAATTTCTATCTTTTTTTATCTGTTTACATTAAAATTTAAAATAATGCTTCTAACAAGTGTTTACACCTGGGGATTCATCTTATCTTTTCAAACCTGTTATCGCAATGTATGATAGAGAAATTCTACAGCTGGCTTTCCCGAATGTTCAATTGGCCAGTCCATGGAAGACTTATTCTAAGAGTTGAAATTTACGTGTAGCCAGTAAGTAGTTTATTAAAAGATATAAAGAACGTAATTCTTATCTAAGATTATATGAAGGCGTAGGAATGTTTAGCTAATTAAGATAAGATTAAACGAGTTTTTCAACCCAAGGTTTTCCTTATTACTTTTGCATCCCAAAAGTTTCAAAATGCTACTTTTTACCCAAGTTTATATTTTGTTAATACCTAAAATATACTGACATTCGTACGAGTTTGACAAGTTATGGAGACAGGATGAGAGAGATTTTGTAGAGTGGAGGCCGGTGAATTGTACAGTGGTGACTGATGAATATTCATGCTAGAATTAGCCAGAAATCATATAAGAACAGAAAACTCAAACTTTGGAATGACCTACAATTGACGAGAAACAAGGTTTGAAATAGAAAGGTTTTATAGAGAAGAGATCGAAGGTTCGAATGATGAAGACGAAGAGAATTTTCGCTGTTAGAATCAACTTTAGATAGTGAGGATATTAACTTTGGGTGGGAAAGTGTCATTAAGGAACCTTGGATGGGAAAAAAAGTCATTTACTCTTAAGATAATGACATATGAACCACAAAGTATAAATGTAAGCCTCAAGAAATGTGCATCGTTCATAATTTATTACTTCGTGACCAATATTCTACACAGAACACGGTTTTCGTTTATTCTAATATATTGTTATTGAGTTTTAAAATGAAATAATCAAAAGAAACTCAAACACTTGGCTCCATTAACGAAGAAACCAAGATCCTCTTCTCAAATATCATGAATTCTTAACATTAACAATTGCAATGATACAATTGATAATTAATAAAAGAACAATATAATAAAGAAAATTTTGTTTAATATAAACCTGATGGGCCTCTGATAGTTACAACTAGCAGTAGTTGTCAAACTATAATTTAATTTCAAACCATTTCTGAGATATTTTATTGTAAGTTTCCATATGAAAGCCTTGGACTATAGACCGTAATTAGTTTTTGGATTAAACTTATTAAGGAAGCTTTTGATTTCTTCTTCCTACTTCGACCCTACCTGATCGTCACCTGCTATTTCCTTTTGTCGGCGTTCTCTCTCATCTTTAGCCAAAATAATTGCAAAGTCAACTCCATGGCTACTCTTTGGTCATTAATCAATGAACATAAACTACTTTGCCTGTAGTCAAACCCCACTTGCTTGCGTTGACAATGTCTATTTACAATTTATATCTGTAAGATGTTTTGCTTTCTGTATAAATGGTAAATTCTCAGATTTATTGGTACAGCTACCTCTGACTTTTGATGATATATATACCGGCCAGCTAAAGGTTTAGAAGAAGTCTTTAAACTTGGCTCTTAAGAAATTCCTTAAGAGACAAGTTTAAAGAATTCTTCCAAACGGACGACGATGAGGATGAGGATGAGGATGAGTTAATAAATAGACCTGGACTGCCTGAAATTTCATCAGATTTTTTGGGATATTTTTGTCGTTGTAGTAGCCAAAAGTCAGTGAACATCCATTTTAACAGCCAAAAGTGGCGACACGCGTGTCAGTAATAGTTTTCAAAAGTCATGGAACCTAATATAGTATTTGATGGTTAAGGGGTCTAAGGAAGAGTAATTGATTTTCGATTTGCAGTTATTTTGTAAGGTTTCATTCCATTTCTACAACTATTGAATTGTTAGCTATCTCTGGGTAGTGAATGGTTCAATAAGAGCTCTTAGGTATGTTACTCAAGAAATTTTGAATTTGAATTCTTCATTGGTTGCTAATAGAGATAATCACTATACTTCTTACCCGGTCGATAATTTCAAGATCTCAGGGGATTAATTGAAATGTGTACTTAGACACCCCGGATAAATAAAAAAAACTATTGAACCACTGCCATTATCTATATTCAAATGAATTGTGACATTTTGCAACATCACCAGACGTGGACTCTCAAAGAGAAGCAAAACCAGCTAAACAGGAAATCAAAGTGCTGGAAGAACCTGATATCTAAGGAAGAGTAATTGATTTTCGATTTTCAGTTATTTTGTAAGGTTCCATTCCATTTATATATCTATTGAACTGTTGCCATTATCTATATTCAAATTAATTGTGACATGTTGCAACATGACTAGACATGGACTCTCAGAGAGAAGCAAAGCCCGATAAGAGGAAATTGATCTATACGTTTCCGTTGGAGTTAATCAGGATTAAATTGCTTTACCACTCCAGTTGAATCCTCAGTGTTTTCATAGATAAAAGTATGAGGTTAAGGCTTCATAAAACCTTGAAGCTCGCTCGAATGATCAAAGTGCTGGAAGAACCTGAGAATGAGATCTCCAAAACTTACAATTCCCCTAACCGAGCTAAAATCTTTACGGGCTGTTGAGCCTCCTTTGGAGGGACAAGACTTAATTAAAAAAGCCCAAACATCTTGGGCCAGGCGGACCATGTATAAAGAGATAGAAAACGTAACCCAGAAAATAAAATTGGGCTACATGAAGCCCTATGGATTAAAATAGACCATGATGGTTGATGGATTTAGGTAAAGATGGCAATGTGTCCGATATTTCTGGGTACCCGGCCTGACCCTAAAAGGTCAGGCTTAGCCCGATGTTCGCGGGCTTAAGCTTGGGCCTGGGCCTGATTTGAAGGCCCTACCTTGAGTACAGGCCAAACCTCGGTATGTCTTCAGGCTTGGTCCGGCCCGAAAATTTTAGTATTAATTATGCTAAATTACTTTTATACTATATATTTAATCACAATTATCCTACATATGTACTCATTTTTCTCAAACCCTACATGGATGAATGGATAGATTTTGTGGAATGTTATTTATATATTTGGTGAGTGTTAAAAAATAAATTAATATTTAAAAAATGTTTTTAGAATTAAAAATATAAAAAAATGAAATTTATTAATATTTAAAAATTCACATTATAAAAATGGGCGGGCTTGGGCTGGGCCTGAGATTACAAAAAGCCCATCGAACCGGGTTTGGGCTTTACCTATCATACCCGTGACGGGCCCAACCCAGGCTTGGGCCTTTGTCATTAGGTCGAGCTTGGGCTTGGGCCAAGGGGTACCCAATCCCGGCCCGGCCCATTGCCATAACTAGATTTAGGATAGGGAAGGGTTATCTCATTAGCTTACATCTGTTTTTGAAATAAGGATAAAATTTGAATTGAACATAATATTAATAACGATATGTAATTATCCTCTTGTTTCCATTAAACACCGAATTCTTTTAGCTTTACTTAATCTTAAAAAATTTTAGAACCTCAATTTTCTCATTAATGAAAAATATTCTTCTCCAATATAGTATTTTAGTAAGAGAGGCAATGGTTAAAGTTATAGAGAATTTTAAATACACCAATAGATTATGTATTTAGGTCTCTTTCCCCCCAGTGAGTTGAAATTTTAAATCAATTTTTTTTAATCTTTCCATTTAAGTATGAGATTGCATGGGTTAGACACAAATTTTAGTAAAATTATATAGAGTTATTGGGAAGTGAAAAGGTGTTTAATATAAAAACTCTTTGATTTAATTTCTTGTAAGTTATGATTTTATATCTATGAAAAAAAAAAAAAAAAAAACACTGTAAGAAGATGAGTGATATATGTTAATCTATTTATCCTTTATTATTATTATTATTTTGGACAAACCCAATAATTGTAATAAAAAGGAATAAATAATAACAGCCTAAAAAAGGGAACACTATTTTAGACGCACGACCTTGGACCTATCCAAGGGACAAGGTTATACAAAAGGCTAAAAGAAGCCAAAGGACACTCAGCCCAGAACAAAGGAAACTCAGAAAAAAGTAGCCTTTATTGTTTATAAGCAGCCTGCAAAAGCCACACCAAAAACAAGGCTCTGGCTTCTTGTCCCCCCAGAAAACTGGCAAAGAGCCTATAAACTAACAAAGAACCGGTAAAACATCCAGCAACTAACAAACAAGAAGGATCAGTTGCCCAAGCCACAACCCGAAATCACCAGCCAATAGTACCCCAAACCAACAACTAAACAAATACCCACGTGGCCAATCAGCTTCGGCAGAAATTTGTTTATCCTTTACTGTGGGTACAGATAAAAATGATGGGGGACTCATGGTCATCCCTACTCCCAATTACTATATAAAAAATCTCATCTTTAAGTAATTATTAAAAGAAGTTTTAAGTATCAATATGCATAATGTTCTTTATTATAAGTACAATGAGGTCTCAAGTTGACCTTATTCAACACTGGAAAGTCGAAAGAAGTAACTAAGACCAACAATTAGGACACATAGTTGAATTGAAAAGTTTTTATTTCAGATTATACAACATAATACAAATATATATACTATTACAGCAAATTATCATAGCATAATGGCTTAAACAGAAACTTAGACCGGTATGTTGAACAAACTATGTCTCTTAGAAGGGGATATTGCAGCATAACAAAGAGACTAACCGGTACAAATGCAAGTATAGCAGTAAGCATGGTGAAACAGTTTAATCTATCATGATAAGCTAAGAAGAAGGTTGCGCTAAAAGCCACCATCATGGCAATTATAGATAAAAAGAGCGTCGAGAGTCCTACCATCAGCTTAAACGGTAACGACTTGAGAAAATCGTCTTCTGTATAACGCGATGTAAGGATAAATAAAAACATCAGAATGGAGATAGTTGAGGAGGATAAAGCGATTGCATCTGACAAAGCGAAAACCTGAAACAAAGTCTCTCTTAGATGAATTGGCGTCCCCCTGTTATTATCGTTACCACCCGGTACACTGAAGGCTGCTGCAAACATCATAGTGGCAATGAGTGTTGCGACAAGCATACAAGATTCAGCTGTCTTCTTCATCCACAGCTCTCCATTTTTTAATAAATCTTTATGCTCTTTGGCGAAAATCTCTTGTGGTGTACTACCTTCTGAATTTTTCTTTTCTCTAAACGAGGGTTGAACCATCTTTTCAATCTCCTACCACCATTAACAAAAATGTTAATGCAAGAAGTATTATAATTGAAACTGAAGAATAATTTTGAACTATGGAAGAATACCTTAAACCATAACAATTCTCGTTGCATTTGTAGAGCTGCTCCAGATACGATACTAACTCGATTCGAATCTGGATATTTTGCAACCAAATGCAATATGTTATTCTGCTTATTATCTTCAAAGGTCCCCATCAATTCCTTTGTAAAGGCTGTCTCATATATTAGATTGAATATAGTGGCATGACGGTGCAAAATAGCAATGTGAAATATGCTGTGATTATTGTCATCCAATTCATAAACCACATCAGGATAACAGCAAATGAGCTCTGCCAAGAATTCGAAGTTCCCCAATCTAGCTGCCTCAAACAACAATTGTGAAGGTGTTCCGATTAGTGCCGTAAGCTCCAACTCGTCTCGTTTTAATATTTCTTCCCAAAGACATCTGACAAGTTGAAGAGCTTGGGTTGACATCAAGTCCTTATGAGTCATGAACTTCAATCCTGGTACTAAAAGTAAGAAGCAAGTTGTGTAATTATTTATATTAATGTAATAATAACAAGGACAAGAATAACTTTATATATAATCTCATCTATCAATATATTAAGAAGTAACTAACACGAAGTGAGAAGCCCCTTCAAGATTCCTGGATTTCTGCCGGCAATAGTGGAGGGCATTCGAGCCAAAACATGCAAAGCTGTTTCAGAATTCTTGTCACGAGCCACAGCAAGTTCTGGATGATCCTTTAGCAATTCCAACGCCAGATCTGAACAACATTCAACCAATATCTTTTAGTTAAACCATACACAAAATTCTTGATTTAATTTAGTTCAGCATGAATATATATCAATTTATTCAGATGAAATTAAATATTTGATGAATATTTTTCCTTTGTATTCTCATAATTTGACACAGATTAATTTTAAATATTAATGCATTACCGTTATCTTTTTCTATCCTAAACAATGAAAAACATGTTTGTTTTAATATTAACTATTCAATTCAAAATTCAATCATATTCTATTCAATTCAAAGCATTTAACAATTAATTTTCACAATAAAAGTTTATAAATTAATAAAAACACCCCCACCCATCTAAGCCATTGTCGCCCGCTAGCAACCACTGTCGGCTACCAGCCGTTTCCACCGCTGGCCATAGCTACCAAGGTTGACGCCAGAACCACACACAATCGGTCAGATCTGATCAATCGTGTGTCAATCTGACCATTTTTAGTCAGGTCTATGACCACAGATCTAGTCGTGGATAGTCAGATTTGGCTTTATCTGGCCGTTAACAATGATCATATCTTAGTTATCGTTGACAGTCAGATTTTGGCCATTGATGACAACTAGATTCTGACAATAGATTTGGCCGTTTTAAGCTAGATACATGGTGGATTTGGCAGAAAAAGACCACATCAGTGCATGATTTACCAGATCCAACCGGTCATGTGCTATTTTGATGACTGTCAGCCACCGGTCAATGGTGGTGGCCAGCTGCCAATAGTTGTTTGGGTGGGTGACGTGTTTTTGTTAATTTATAAACATTTATTCGGGGGATGTTTAGCTAAATTAACAAATATAAGGGGTTAAAAAATAATCTAAATATTTTCAGAAAATGTTTTTCAATAATGTACCAAACATATTCTCAAAATCTTATATTGTTTGATTTAATCATATCATATCCTACTTAGAATAGGATATCAGAATATCATATTTCAAGTAATCCTAAGGTACAAGCTTATTTATGTTCCAATTCATTCCAAACAAAATCCCACTTAAAAGAAATTGATGTGACATGTCCCTACCTTGTAATATTTTTTATGTATAATGTATACTAGATGATATATAATATAAGAAAAAATCTTAGATGAGGTAGGTATAACATAAATTATTGAATTATTTGTGACATTAGATTAAATCATAAGCAAAGATGTGATGCTTCCAAACATGCTGATTAGGGAATAACATTAGGATGTAAACTTACCACAGAAACCAGTATTGATAAAGGTGAAAAATATAGCGATTCGATCCTTTTCTGTCAACATATCTTTAGTTTCACCGTATAAAAAAGATGCCATGTCTCTCTGTGCAAACACAGCGGCTATGTGGAGTGGACTCATATTTTCACTGCCTCGGATTGTTAGAAGACGAGGATTTTCCATCAACATTATCTTGGAAATTTGAATCGCTCCAACTGCAGCAGCAAAACAAAACGCAGAGTTCCCATTTTCGTCTGGCAACTTCAAGTCTTCGGGGTCTATCAGTTTTACCAACGCCTCCACAAAGTTAGTTTGTCTTGCTGCTGTTGCAATATGAAGAACAGTTTGTTTTCCCTTTGTTATACTGGCACACAAAAATCCAGGATATTGTCCAAAAATATGCTTAGCCGTTCCCCAGTCACCTTTTAACGCAGCCTTATGAAGAGACACACATGTGTTGAGGTAATTTCTTCTGTTTTCTCCTGTGTGTATTTAAACCAAGAAGAAAAGGGTTAATTCTTTGGCTTGATCGACGTCTATTTATATGGGATAGTCTGATCATCATTTTACTTTATTGACGAGAAGAGATTTTACAATAAAATAATATGTGTAGTACTATTTGGCAATCTCATCATGTCAATAGAGTGAAAAAGAAAATTCACTTCAAAGATCATAGCTTACTCTTTAGTAGAAGCAGGGAAGGTGAGAGAGCTTTTGCTGATGAATCGATATCAATTATTACTGCATCTTGTACTTGTGGAGGAGGTACTGAATTTGCATCCCTTGTGGCCATTAGTTGATCTCTCCTGAATACAAGTTATTGCTTCATAATTTATGATGGTGGTACGTTTGTTTAAATTAATCAAACATAATAAATTACTGAAAGAAGTGTCTTTGAGCACCAAGTTTTATAAAATAAAATGCGATCGTCCGCAAATGAAAGTTGATGAAACCTTAAAATTGAATAAGGAAATGGAAACATATATGTATGATCTTGGTGACAGAAGTAGATATAATCTGAGCAAAACTAATAACAGTAAGGACTGAACATTAACCTGACAAAGTATTAACGTTTGGTCACCACAAAGAGAGATAAGAATGCTTAAGAAAAGTAATCTCTTTAAGTTCTAAAAATGCAGTGCATCTTCCGAGTGAGTGTATATATAGTAATTCTTGGTCAATGGAAAATAGATTTAAAATGAATTCGGCTCTTCTTAGCAAGACCACTAAGTGGAAGAATATTATAATTAATTACAAATCACATTCTTTGAAAGCAACTGCCAGGAAGGCTTCCACAACTTCTAAAGAGGGTTATAGCAATAGTACACTGAAACACTACAATCATTAGGATTTATTTATTCTTATAGAATTAGACTTTAAATAGGAAGATTATCACTAAAGGAATATTTTTTATTTTACGGTGGCATAGGAGAACAAGCTACCAAAATCAATGGACATAAAAGACTCAATTAAACATCAAAATTACTTAAAAATTTGATTTCACCCGTTGTTTGATTATCAGAGTGGTTTGCTGAAAGCCTGAAACTACAAAACAGAAAAATCATTTAATAATGCTAAATGTATAAAAAAAATAATACAAAGATTTATATATAAAGTTGTGCGGTAAAAAATAAATAGAAAAGTGAATAAAAAAAATCAAACTCATCATATATATTCCTCAATTCATTTTCTGTCACATTACTTTGTATAAAAACATATATAAAATTTGTTTATATGTGTCGTTTTATTGAAAATCATTATACTAAGATATTATAACTTAAAAAGAAATAATATTAAAAGTGATATGATATGCATCTTCTCAATTCCCCAATTAACTCTTATTTCAAGTAAATCCATATCATTAATTCCAAAATTACCCTCACTATGCTTTTTTTCTGTACAAAAACCCAAAACCATATTAATTTTTTGTGTTTTGGTTTTACTTGAGGAATTTTATTTTGAAACGAAAAGAAAAGATAGTAACCTTTATCCATTAAAAGAGAATAGAAAGAAGTAAAAAAGTGGGTGGAGGGCTATGGTTGGAATTTTATTAGAATCAAAAGCAATATTGAAATTATAGTATACAAAAAGTACATTTAATTGAGGCTATTAAATATTACTCTGATGCCAAGTGTACAAATTCTTTTTGTAAAGTTTTCATATAAATTGATATGACATAAAGTAATTGGATGAATTTATATAAATAATACTTGATAAATATTTAATTAATATAGGTAAATGATGTAATAATAAAAAAGATGTTACACGTAAAGTTTACAAATGGATATATTTTAACTATAAATATATTAAAATGCCCATATATCATAAGATTTTTTAACAGAGTAAAACTTAAATCACGAAAATATCCCAAATTCAACTTTTATAACTCCGCACAGCTGGGAAGCATACCTTCTGGTTGTGAAATTAATTCATTAAGAAACATAAAATAACAGCTGGGAAGCATACAAAGATAAATTTAGGGTCATATAACAAACATTGCATGGACCCTATACTAAATTCTCACCACTTTCTTTTAATTTTCCTAAACTTTGAGGTGGGTTCCGCTGGATTTCTATAAGGAATGCACGTAATAAGGACAGAGAAGTTCGTAGAATCTCTCTTTTTAGCATAAAGTCGAGGCGGCTTTGCACAAATTTTCTTTTCCAACAATAATTCAAGAAAGAGGAATCTGTGAGAATATCATCCATGTTCTCTATATAAGTCATGCATGTATATATATTACTACTATTATTGGTCAAACGAATGAATCCTGAAACATGGATGTATTGAAGAACTTTCCAAAAATTCCACCACTAAAGGGACTGATCTTTCAGGATCTTGCTGAGAAATTTATATAAAGCTAGAAACCGGAAGGGTCATAAAGTTACAGATAGTGTTGAACGTAAGATTACCAATAACTCTGATAAAGAATTTGGTATCAGGAATTTAAAGGAGGGATGGGATTTGTTTAGGGTCCACAGCTCTTGCTAAAACAATTGCACGCCATGCATTGACTTGACTTGAATTGTTTTTTCAGGATTATTGCGGTGGCTGGACTCCCGCTTATACTTATATAAAGACTTGCATTGACTTGCTTTTCCCATATAATGCTTTTTTTTCTGTGGCAGTGGCAATTTTAGTGTGTGTTTGTTGCTTAATTGATATGGAAATCACCTTGGTTTTAACTTACTAAGATTGATTTTTTGCTTAATTAACATAGAAATTGTCTGGTTTGATTTCTGTTATAAGTGCAGAAACAAATTTTATTTTTATTTTTCAAATTTTCTATATAACTAAAATAACCTGATTTCTTTTAGTTCTGTTGCCAAATAAAATAATTTGTTTTTGGCCGAAATTAGATATCAACTTTTTTTTTTTTTTTTTGATAACAGAGTGTTTGGATCAGTTTATACGCACCTTTACTGATCATTGAGACCCATTAAACGCCTTATAAGTTTCATGTTCTAAGTAAACTATAAATGTGATAAGTGAACTCAAGTGGTTTAAAACCAAAGAATTAATTAAGTAAGTAAACGTTCTTGACTACCAGACTAATCCTTTGTACAAATGCTCTTAAAAACGTATTAAATAAAATTTTCTTTTTGAAGAAAAGGCATACCTATAATTTTTAATAGGTGGCATTTTTATTGATATATAATCGGACACAAACAGCGATATATATGCAATCATGACTCAGGCCAAAGCAAACCAATGACACGATTTACAGTAAACAAAGCTCTAACTTCTCCATGAGAGGAGGAGCTTATTCTCACAACTTATTGTTAGTCTTTCTGCAAACTGTTGGCATTAAACTTATTTAATAATAATTAATTATAGTTTTCCCAGGATTATTAGGCAGTCTGACTTGAGGAGTTCGCCGATGCAACTTGTAATTGCCATTTCCAAGTCGTTCCATTACCATATTTGACTCATCAACCTCATCATTAAGAATGACAGTACCGTCAGCGGCAAAATTTGCCACAAGGGGAGCACCTTGAGGTGCTGCTTTAAAATTTGGAAGATTAAGAACAATGTCAAGATGATGTCTAATGTGCAAGAGATGAAGATTGCTGAATTCATTGAACAAATTCACAAAGTCTGAGTTTCCAACCTTGGGACTTGAAAAGGCAAAGACTGTTACCATGCGTTGGCCATGGAAGAAAGAACAATCTGACTTATTATATCCATTGGCAACCATGTCAGCTGCAGTCCAATATAGCAAAATCACTTCCAGATAATGGCCTGTTACCGTTATACTGATTTCCTCTTTCTGTTACTCATTCATTAGTTTCTTACTTGTGGCAAGCACTTAGATATATAACGATAATAGAATAATATTATACATATAATATCTTTTATATAATATTATATGGTATAAGATAATTAGGTGAAGGTTTAATTTTAATCGACTACATAACCAAATAATTTGTACGGCAAGTTAAAGAATTTAAAATTCTGCGCTGAGCAACGGTCCTAATAACAGCACAAGGTCAAATTCTGTCACATGGGTGTTAAACTGTTAATTCTCAATTTCTCATAAGCCCAACGGCACCGTTTTCTTTACACAATGAGTGTGAAAATTTAACAAGGCAGATCAAGCTACAGGCTTTTGGGGTTTTGCATCTTCTTCCTACTGTTCCTACTTAGAAAAAACACAGATCCTACGGTCCGGAGATCTTCATTTTGTGTTTGTTGTATGATTGTTGAAGGGCTGAGATCTCTTTCTGTAGCAAGTCAATGGATTTCCACCACAGAAGCTGCCGTTTTAAGATCGAAGTTGCTGGGCTGTGTATTATTTTTCTGCAGAACTTCAAGCTGCAGTCTTCAAATCAACGGCTGAAATGGTTTAATTTTGTTTTTCCTTTTGAATCAATGGTGTTACTTTGCTGAAATTGTAAAGAGTCACACGGATAGCCAACGTGCACTTGAATTAGTATATAAGCAGTGTTGTAATCAGGTCATTGTGTTGGAAAAAGAATTAATATTCAACAAAACTTTTGCTCATTCCAGAACTTTCTCTGCTCTTCAACTTGCTGCAATTTTCTGTTTGTTTTCCTGGAAAATTTATCCTTTTCAGAATTCTCTAACTGATCCTAGGAATCCTTATACAGCTATACATGAATTTTTTTCTTTTTTGTTTTTATTGCTCAACCGGATTGTGAAGACATACTCACATTGCATAATACTTATAAAAAATGCCGCTCTTTATGTCAAAAGAGACAAAGAGGATTTTGGTAGAATCCATTTTTTTAGTTTTTGTTTCAGTCAAGTTCTAATGATTTGTGACTGTTGTCAAGAAACACAATCAGGTCAAAGTTTTAGCATTACTTTCAGCATACTACTAATTTATCGAACCTCTTTCTTTCTGCTGCTGAAACATCACAGAATACTGCAATTAAAGTGTACGAATTCAATCATTTTTGTATTTTTTGTATAAATATACACCGTTATGGCCACTGATAATTTTCTTTATCAAAAACCATTCAGATTTTGCTTAATCTAAACCTGCTGGATACTGTGAATTGGTCATTTAATTAACAAAACAAAATGTTTATCTACATGTAAAATGAAACTGAAAACCTTATTCATTCTTTGATTCTTTCAGCTTTTATATCAAGAATCAAATACAGCTCTATAACACATAACAGAGTCATGACAGAGTAAGCACCTTTACCTGTTTTTAACCCTAGCTAATATTTGAAACCTAACATATAAACGCTAGGTCCGCTGACCTGGCGCCAATCTTAAATTCAATTTCGATAAGTTTTGAACAAGCATGGAGAGCAGGATTAGCAGCAAGAGTGATGAACGTTGAGTTCTTCGAACAATTGCTGAAGCCATAATAATTCTGTTGAATTTTGAGCTAAAGCGATATTAGAGTGTGTATTTTGCTTAATTGATATGGAAATTAACTTGGTTCCAATTTTAAGATTGCTCGTTTGCTTAATTAATTAAAAATAATCTGATTTTTTACTTCTGCTGCCATTTTTATTATTATTTATATTATTATTATTTTGAGATTTTTAGCCGAAACTGGATATCAAAATTCCTCTTGAACACGTGATTACACGTTTTAATAAAATTTTCATTTTAAACAAAAGGCTTATATACTAACTTTTAATATTAGACATTTTTATTGGTATATAATGGGACACATGCATACAGCCATTGGCAATCAGGAACTTATTCTCAATACATATTATTAGTGCTGGTGCAAACCAACGACACGACGTAGAGTAACCCCAAGCTGAGTCCTCCATGTGCGGAGGAACTTATTCTCAATACATATTATTAGTGCTTGTGCAAACTGGTGGCACAAACTTTATTCAGTAATATATATTATTATTATTATTATTTTCCCAGCATTGTTAAGCAGTCTGACGTTGAGGAGTTCGCAGATACAGCTTGTAATTGCCATTCCCAAGGTCTTCCATCACCACATTTGACTCATTTACCTCGTCATCAAGAATGACAGTACCGTCACCGGCAAAATTTGCCCCAGGAAGACCTGCAAGCTGGGGAGCACCTTGAACTGCTACCATGGGGGCAGCAGCGGCAAAAAGGAGGCCTTTCTTTTCTTGTTGTTTTTCAATTGCCACGAGTAAATTCTTCAAATGATGAAACCTGGTTAGAATTTCAGCAACAGAGAGGATAATAGGGCGTAGAAGATCCCATATTGTGAAATTGGTATAAGTGATGCGTAACAGAGTTCCCATTTTCGAATAATTAGTTGTCGGTGGAAGTTCAGGAACAATGTCAATATAATGCCGAGTGTGCAAGAGATGAAGATTGCTGAAGTTATTGAACACTTTCACGAAGTCTGAGTTTCCAACCTGGCAGGGCCGTCTCTAGAATATTTGTGACCCTAGGCAGGAGTTACTTCGGGGCTCTCTAATAATATAAGCATATATTAAAAAAATTATTTCATTTCAATTTTTTTTTTCCCCTTTTGAGATGAAAAATCACTAGGAGAGGTGAACAGCAATCGGCAGGCTAATAAGGTTAGGTTGGTGCGGGGTTTTGGAGAATAGATGTTGGAGAAGTGATGGGTGGTGAAATGAGTGATTTCCAATGCCAAGATTGATAAGAAAAGACTTGAGAAGTCACGACCCAAAAAGTATCGATTGCTGGTGATTGGCAGAGTAAACGGATAAGGTATGATAGGGGTTTTGGTGAGAGGGCTGAGGGGAGGAAGATGGTGGTGTCGAGGAAGGCCAACAATGTCGAGTATATGCCAAAAAGATTGGAAATGGCTGTCATGTGGTGGAGTTGGGTTGCGAGATTCATCAAAAATTAGTCAAATCAAGGGCTATCAAGGTTGGGAAATGATAAAATGATGATTTCGGTCGATTTTGGTGAGAAAATCGACTGGAACCAAAATTGACCGAAATCAACTCCAAACCATTGGCGGCAGAAGAGGGCTGGAGATGATTTAAATGTCAAATTTTGGGATTGAACTGGGGGTGAGTAATTTAAGATATGTAAATGACTATTTTAGTCTTCTATTGTTAAAAGAGATTCAATGTGTTAATTTTGGGGTATAAACTAAAATATATAAAACTAGAGGTATAAACTTGTTATTTTGTTAAACTTTGGGTGGGAATATATGTAAAACGTTTATAATAAATTTGGGCTTTTGTGACTTTTTTTTGGGGGCCCCTTGACTTAGATAAGAAATTATAAACCATTTTTATTTTTATAAGATATTCCAAAAATAAAAAAATATAAAAATTTTATAAAAAATTTGGGCCCCCATTTTTTTGGGGCCCTAGGCAGGTGCCTCGCCTGCCTACCCCTTAAGCCGGCCCTGCAACCTGGGGACTAGCAAAGGCAAAAACTGTGACCATGGCTTTGGGCATGCAAGAACAATCAGACTTATTATTATATCCCTTGGCAACTATGTCAGCTGCATTCAATATAGCGAACGAACCTCCCAAACAGTGGCCTGTTACGGTTATACTGATTTCTTCATGTTGGTATTGTTTCACCAGTTTCTTAACTGCGTTAAGAACCTACATACATAACGACAATAAAAATAATAATCGTTGGATTTTGCACATAATATACCAAAAAAAACTTTTAAAGAGATTATTTACCTGATCTCTAGCTGACATGTAGATGGAGAAAAATCCCTCATGTACACGAGAATTTCCGGAATGCTCCCCTAAAATCGGTGTAGCTGAGGTTTGACTAAACTGGAAATCTTTTATCCACTCTCCGATTGTCACTGATCCTCTCCAGCAAACCATAATGTCTCTCCTTCCTAACTGTCTCTTTCCTTCATCTGTGGCCACGGCCACGTAACCAATCCATGCACGTGAGCCTTTAGCAAAGAAATCAATTTTTGAGTCACCATAAACATAGTTGTTCATGGTGTACAGTCCCAGACCAACCTTAGCAAAGAACTCTTTTTCTCCATATTTGGGTTGCCCGTAGCTCGAAGAAGTTATACTGTGCTCGACAGTGTCATAAATAGCGTCAATTCTTTTACCATAATGAATTAAAGTTTGGCCGAGACTTTTCTTCAGAGGTCTCAAAAGACCTGACCAGTTCTTCTCGCCATTAAGCTCCTTCCAGTTGGACATGACTTTTTTTTTTTTTTTTTTTCACTTGCTCAGCTCCGTTTGTGAAGAAAGACTCACATTGCGTGCTCTTTATAGAAAAATGCTGAATAAAGTTATTAAAATATCTATATTTAATGTGATAGACCTTTTGTCACATCGTCTACCCAACCATTTATAGATACCATATGATGAAAGTGAATTATACAAGAATCCACTCGCGCAATTCAATGAGTCCCAAAAACTTCCCTTATTCTTATCTAAATAATACTTTCAAAGATTCTTAAAGGTTAATCTGAGGTATATCCTACAGAAGTTATATTTTCATACTTATCCAAATTTAGTATATTGTTATATTAATATGCATATAAGGAAGAGTTTGTAATAATAGAGTTTAATTATTCAGTATCTTTCAATGTGAATATGTGATAGAAAGAAATGAAGAGAATAATTTCTCTAGTCTCGTCTACACAAACCATTCATAGACAATGGTACTTTACCCTTGAGGTTGCAGGGGTGCACATAGTAAGAGAGGGAAAAGTTTGTTAAAATAAGCTCTCAACCCTTAAGAGATTTTAAGGAACGTTAGTGGGCTGTCAGCATATTAGGGCTGAACCAAAACTCGATTTGCATCGAATGGAGGAATTCTTTGTCATATTTACAGATTAAAATCATTCAAAATAGTCATTTCTCTTCAATGGTAAAAAGATATTTGCCTAAACTATGAGTCTATTATATATGACTTTTCTGTGAAGTGGAAATCCTATTAAGTTGGGTTCATTTAAACCTGAACTAATTACCATAGATTTATTATGAGTAATGTTAGATATATAAACTTTCTTTTCCAAACTGATGTGGCAACCATATTCAAATTTATTTAAATTATCTTTAATGTAAAATTATTCAATCACATTTAAACACATCAGTTTATAGGGTTGAGTTTGCATGAGAAATTTGTATACGTAATATTATTCACTAGTAATTACATGAAACCACAAATAATCTTTCTGCCCTTGACCCTTAATAGGTACCACACGCATGAATCATGCGTTCCTTTATTCTTATCTAAATAATACTTTCTATATTGCTAGAGATTCTTAAAGGATAACTTGATGTTTATCCTATAAAGGATCTTTAGGTTTAAAAGTGAAAGGAATTGATGGAAACAGAACTAAGAAAAATCTAGAATTTCAAAGATGTTTCGAAAAATGAAAGTAAAGAAAAAATGAGTTTAATTAATATGTTTTTGAAAGAGAGCTGCAACTTATATATAAATTAATATATTAATGTGTGTTAATATGATTGAGTGATTTTAAATTAAGAATAAATCAATGCATACGTATATCTGTTGCGTTTGCCTATATGTAACAGCCGCGGTCCTTAAACGGCCCATGTTAGTAGTTCATGCAGCTAACACAAAGTCTTTTTAGAAGAAAAGAAAAAAGAAACGTTAGTCAACAATTTTGTCAAAGCATAGTCAAACTATCAGTTTGGCGAATAATCAATTTGTTAGTTAAAATATTCCAATGAGTGGATCGGGACGAATCTTATCACAATTAATTAAAATAAAAAAAGATAAAGGTTGGAAGTGAACCATGCAAGCAATAAAGGCGTGCAGTTGATTCTCTCTTTTTCATTTCATTATTGATTCGTGTTCACGTCAAACTCCCACATTAGCTAAGAGATAAAGATATTAGTCGCTTAAATAATATAAAAACACCCTAAAAAATAAGGGTATTAAAAAATGGTTAATTGAATGGTTAACCGATTTCTAGATTAAATCGGTTTTTCGGTTCAAAAATTTTCTTAAATCGAAATGGGAAAAACCAGTTTTTCGGTTAACTAAAAGATTGGGTAACTAATTTTAATTTAATATATTATATATATTTTTTTAATTTAATATTTTTTAACAAACCATATTTTTTATATTTTATATTTTAATTTAATATTTTTTTATAATAAACCTGTAAGTAAAACTGGTTTTGGTTAATCATTTTTCATATTCTCTCAAATCGATAACCGAGTCGAAAATTCGGTTTTTTCTTTGAACCAAAACCGAACTAGTTTTTTGGATAACCAAAAATTTGGTTCAGTTCGGTTTCTATATTATTTTAACATCCCAACTCAAAAACTCAAAGGTGTATTTTCAGGACAGAACCGTACAAGCTTGTCTGCAACACAACCTATGAGTCTAAAGTGAACAATACTTTTGGGAACTCACCTATCATGTGATTAGAGACAGCATAATAACAATACAAAAGTCTAGGGGAAATATTACTTACGAAAATAAAGCAGTAAAGGTGCCTTACAATAGTTTAGGTATTGTTGAAGTGTAAAATAAAATGCAAATAATATGTTTCCTTAATTGTGAAACAATACTATGTTTCATTATTCTAAGAGATTTAGTATTATTCCAATATTATGTTTCATTTATAACTTAATTTTTATATAAATAGACATATGATTCAATTATAATAATCAATTCAATAACAACTGAATTCACTAAATTATCTTCTCGAGTCTCATTTGCTTTTAATTCTGACAGGTGGAATTAGGTTTCTCAGTAACACAGTTAACTAAGCAGTAGAGCTTAAATTCTTAGTCTCCATTTAATTAGTGTATGTAGAAATTTGTTAACCATTTTCTGTTCCTTATTTTCTCCTGAGTATCAGTATTCTTCAATTGGATTGATGACTCAGATCTCAAAAGTGTGCAAGCAAATTAAATTTCATTTTTTTATTTCGTTTTATATGCAGCTAAATCAACCCGATTTCAATTTTGTTGCAATATCTTGTGGCTTTTTTAATTGATATAAACGAGCACAGACAGCGGTCCTCCACTGAACTACGGGAGGAATTACCGCTTACATAATTCTTATTTTGTAACGAGATAGAAAGAAATGAGGGGCAAAATTTTTGTCCTGCGTCTACCTATAAATTGATTTTGTCATATTGTTCAAATTAAGAATGACCAAAAATTTCACATTTTCTCCTTGTCAAAATCCTTCTACTTCAATTATCAAGAGCTCTAAGAGTAAGTAAATAGTTTCTGCTTTTAATATCAGGCATACTAGAATTTTAATAGTAGACAATTTTATTAATATACATAGAAGTGCTAGCAGGTGCTAATAACAGACATGCAAGCACAGATTGCCCGGTAGCCTAGCACCAAGGAAACCAACAACACACGATACATAAACAAACTAAGCAGCAAGAGAAACCCCATTAAGCTATATACAAAAAGGGAGGAACTTATTCCCATAACATATTCGACAGCACTCTTTGTTTAGTGTTTGTGAAATCTGATGATGACACAACCTTACTTATTAATAATTCATGTTTCCCAGATTAGCACTGGGTAGTACTTGACAGTGCTCGCAGTTCCCTGATATGTTCTCAACTGTGGACCTTGGACAACTTGCCACCCTCATCTGCACTTGCATTTGTTGTATTGGAATCTCATATCCCACTGCAACGAAGTTCCCCAGTGGAAGTATAGTAACTACATCTTGATTATTTTCAATGCGCAAGAGACGGAGTCTCCGCTTTTGTCATACGATGTTTGAACTCAGTTTGGAAGCAACGTCTCCAACCTTGGGGCTCGCAAACGCGAATGCTGTGACCAAGAATTCCTTGTTGGATTGGAAATGGGCATATTATCCATAGAAACCATGTCAACTGCATTCATTGTAGCAAGAGCTGCGCCCAGACTGTGCCCTGTTACTGTTATACTGTTCCTCGTTTTGGTATTCATTTCCCCATTTTCTAACTTCCTCGAAAACCTACGTGTAAAGAAATTAGCAAATTACTATTTATGATCCTACAGTAACGAGTATACATGATATCCCCTTTATATCTGGACTAATCATTGCAATTTATAATCTAATAAAAAGTTCTTTTAAAAGAAAAAAATTGTGAAAATTACCTGATCTCTAGCACTTGTTTTTTTGGAAGCCGATTTTGGCGTTGTGTAGATGGAGTGAAATCCCTGGTGCACCGTGGGATGACGGATGAAGGGAATATGTCTTCACACAGGTTAGAGGAACTGAAAATTCTAATCCACTCCGCGTCAGAGGAGGTTCCTCTCCAGCAAACCAAAATGTCTCTCCTTCCTAACACTTTTACTCCATAGTCTGTGGCCACAGCCACGTAACCTATCCAAGTGGATCTGTCCTGGCTAACCAACTCAACTGGGAAAGGAACATCGATCTTGGCATAGATATACTTTTTCACTTCGTATATCTTGCTTTTGTTGTCTTTATCCAGGCCAACTTCAGAAAATAGTTTTGTTTCTTCGTATTTGGGAAAGCCAAACCTCGAAGGATCAGTTTTATCGTCATTGATGGAGTCATAAATTGCATCAACTCTTTCACCATAGAAAGTTATATACTTTCTGAGATCAACATGAGGATCTTCCAGGAGACCACCCCAGTAGTTCTTCCCACTAAACACTTTCCTTGTCGTTGGGCGAATGATGATTTTGTTGACGACAAGCCCTTTCTTAATCGTAAAATCATCGTGGTGATACATTAAGATTTTCATGTTCCCAGACATGTTACATGAAGTTACAAACTCACCAACTCGGATCTCTTTCCATTTTTCTCCTTGCATATAACTTAAATCTTCCGTGCGTTCAACTGGCTTTTGGTTGGGGAGGTCGAGCTTCAGCGTCACTGGAGACTTTGCAAATCCTTCAGCTCCCCCCTTCGTCTTTAAGACAAATGAAACTTCGTAAGAAGTCCCTGGAGTTAGCATTTGTGTAGGGAAATTTGTTTTCACATCAAGCCAACATACTTCCACTAGTTCAGCCATCTCCATTTGAACACCACTGCCAAAAGAGAACTTACAATTAGTAACCTTCCTTTCATGTAGACGTAATAGAGGTACAACAATATTTATATATATACATACATAGTGTCTTTCATAGAAGTCCACTTCCAATAACGTGTATCTTGTCCCCAAGCGATTAAGAGATCCGTCGCATACAATTCGAATGAGTTGGCACTAGTAATCATGTCAACAAAAAACTTCTGCAGTATTGAATCAATATTAAGTATTAGTATTGAAGTTAATTGCTACTAAATTGTTAATAGTAACCATATGAAGATGATTCAAGGACTTACCTGCTTCTTGTTGTTCAGGAAAACTCCAGCGTGAAGCTCATCAATCAGCTTATCACGGGCTTTGTCTTTCAGGGATTGATCATCAGCATTGTCAAGAATGAGGTCTAAGTTGTGTGGGAGGTTAACTTGACATGAAGCCATCTCGTTACTCTTACTGATACTTTTCGTTGCACACCTAGTATTTATAGGATGAAATAGTCAAATAAATTACTAGTTTATTACATCATTAATTTTAATTTATATCTACATCCTTGTCAAATATATATATATATATATATAATAAAACATGCATTTAGTTTATTCTTTCTAGAAAATGCTAGGATAAATGTATCGCATCTTGAATAGTCATTACTCTATCAGAAGAGTAAATGACGCTCTCAACCCACCACTACAAAAATAATTTGAGATCTGGTTTGTTGGTGTCGATTAAAGATTTATTAATGCTCATAAACTTTAAAAACTAATTAATCAAATCCAAATTTATTGACACATGTAAATAAAAATCCAAATTTAAATTGTCCACATTCAAATAGTTGTTTTTTAATTAACTAAAAAGCATAAATAAAAAGAGAACGTTCTATAACAATGTATACCGTTTCTTAAAATAGTATTTAATTTTTTATTATATAAACATAGTGTTTATGTATTTGGACGGTATAAGATGATAAATGGTTTGGAATAAAAAAATTTGAAATATTATTAAATATATTGTAATAAATACATTATTAAATGTTATAATAAATTGTATTGTAATTAAAATTAAGACACGTGATCACGGATTCAAGTATAATAGTCGTCAGCACAGGTTAGAGGGAACTGAAATTCTAAGAGATTTTAGATATTATTACAATATTATGTTTCATTTATATAACTTAATTTTTATATAAATAGACAATATTGATTCAATTATAATAATCAATTCAATAACAACTGAATTCACTAAATTATCTTCTCGAGTCTCATTTGCTTTTAATTCTGACAGGTGGAATTAGGTTTCTCAGTAACACAGTTTAACTAAGCAGTAGAGCTTAAATTCTTAGTCTCCATTTAATTAGTGTATGTAGAAATTTGTTAAACCATTTTCTGTTCCTTATTTTCCTCCTGAGTATCAGTATTCTTCAATTGGATTGATGATCTCAGATCTCAAAAGTGTGCAAGCAAATTAAATTTCATTTTTTATATATTCGTTTTATATGCAGCTAAATCAACCCGATTTTCAATTTTGTTGCAATATCTTGTGGCTTTTTTAATTGATATATAACAGAGCACAGACAGCGGGTCCTCCACTGAACTACGGGGAGGAAATTATTCCGCTTACATATCAGTAGGCTTATTTTGTAACGAGATAGAAAGAAATGAGGGGCAAAATTATTTGTCCTGCGGTCTACCTATAAATTGATTTTGTCATATTGTTCAAATTAAGAATGACCAAGAAAATTTCACATTTTCTCCTTGTCAAAAAATCCTTCTACTTCAATTATCAAGAGCTCTTAAGAGTAAGTAAATAGTTTCTGCTTTTAATATCAGGCATACTAGGAATTTTAATAGTAGACAATTTTATTAATATAACATAGAAGTGCTAGCAGGTGCTAATAACAGACATGCAAAGCACAGATTGCACCGGTAGCCTAGCACCAGAGGAAACCAACAACACACGATACATAAACAAACTAAGCAGCAAGAGAAACCTCCATTAAGCTATATACAAAAAGGGAGGAACTTATTCCCATAACATATATCGACAGCACTCTTTGTTACTAGTGTTTGTGAAATCTGATGATGACACAAACCTTACTTATTAATAATTCATGTTTTCCCAGATTAGGCACTGGGAGTAGTACTTGACAGTGCTCGCAGTTCCCTGATATAGTTCTTCTAACTGTGAGCCTTGGACAACTTGCCACCCTCATCTGCACTTGCATTTGTTGTGCTAATTGGAATCTCATATCCCACTGCAACGAAGTTCCCCAGTGGAAGTCTAGTAACTAAATCTTGATTATTTTCAATGCGCAAGAGACGGAGCTTCGCTTTTGTCATATGATTGTTGAACTCAGTTTGGAAGCTAACGTCTCCAACCTTGGGGCTCGCAAACGCGAATGCTGTGACCAAGAATTCCTTGTTTGGATTGGAAATGGGCATATTATATCCATTAGAAACCATGTCAACTGCATTCATTGTAGCAAGAGCTGCGCCCAGACTATGCCCTGTTACTGTTATACTGACTTCCTCGTTTTGGTATTCATTTACCAATTTTCTAACTTCCTCGAAAACCTACGTGTAAAGAAATTAGCAAATTACTATTTATTATCCTAAAGTAACGAGTATACATGACATTCCCTTTAGTAACTGGAACATATATGGACTAATGCAATTGTAATTATATATCTAATAGAAAAAGTTCTTTTGAAAAAAAAAAAAAAAAAAAGTGAAAATTACCTGATCTCTAGCACTTGTTTTTTTGGAAGCTGATTTTGGCGTTGTGTAGATGGAGTAAAATCCCTGGTGCACCGTGGGATGACGGATGAAGGGGAACAATGTCTTCAGCACCGGTTAGAGGAACTGAAGATTCTTAATCCACTCCGCGTCAGAGGAAGTTCCTCTCCAGCAAACCAAAATGTTTCTCCTTCCTAACACCTTTACTCCATAGTCTGTGGCCACAGCCACGTAACCTATCCAAGTGGATCTTCCTGGCTAACCAACTCAACTGGGAAAGGAACATCGATCTTGGCATAGATATACTTTTTCACTTCGTATCTCTGCTTTTGTTGTCTTTATCCGGGCCAACTTCAAAAAATAGTTTTGTTTCAGGTTTATCGTCATTGATGGAGTCATAAATTGCATCAACTCTTTCAACATAGAAAGGTATATACTTTCTGAGATCAACATGAGGATCTTCCAGGAGACCACCCCAGTAGTTCTTCCACTAAACACTTTCCTTGTTTGGCGGAATGATGATGTTGACGACAAGTCCTCTTCTGCTTTTGATCATTGCATTCATATCAGAGATTTCATGTTCCCAGGCATATACAAGAAGTTACAAACTCACCAACTCGAATCTCGTCCAGTTTTCTGATGGGATATAACTTAGATCTTCTGTGCGTCAATCGGCTCTTGGTTGGGAGGACGAGCTTCAGATTCACTGGATTATTTATAAATCCTTGAGCTCCCTTCATCATTAAGACAAATGAAATTTCGTAACAAGTCCCTGGAGTGAGCATTTGTGTAGGGAAATTCTTTTCACATCAAGCCACCATACATGCACTAGTTCGGCATCTCCATTTGAACCACTGCCAAAAGAGAACTTACAATTAGTAACCTTCCTTTCATGTAGAAGTAAGAGGTACAACAATATTATATATATACATAATAGTGTCTTTCATAGAAGTCCACTCCAATAACGTGTATCTTGTCCCCAAGCGATTAGAGATCCGTCGCATACAATTCGAATGAGTTGGCACTAGTAATCATGTCAACAAAAAACTTCTGCAGTATTGAATCAATATTAAATATAGTATTGAAGTTATTGCTACTAAATGTTAGATAAACATCTGAAGATGATTCAAGGACTTACCTGCTTCTTGTTGTTCAGGTAAACTCCAGCGTGAAGCGCATCATGAGTCGTCACCGGCTTGTCTTTCAGGGATTGATCATCAGCATTTAAGAATGAGCTTTAAGTTGTATGGGAGGTTAACTTTACATGAAGCCATCTCGTTACTCTCACTGTACTCCTTTGTTGCACACCAGTATTTATAGGATGAAATGGTCAAATAAATTACTAGTTTATTATCTACATCCTTCTCAATATACATATATATATATATATATTAAACTGTAATAAAACATAGATTAGTTTATTTTTTCTAGAATATGATAGGATAAATGTATGGCATCTTGAATAGTCACCTTATTCTGTCAAAAAAGTAAATGACATTCTCACCTACCACTACAAAAATAAATTGGGATCCGGTTTGTTGGCACCGATTAAAGGTTTATTAACGTTGATAAACTCTAAAAACTAATTAATCAAATCCAAATTTATTGGCACAAGTAAATAAAAATCCAAATTTAAATTGTCGGCATTCAAATAGCTGTTTTTTAATTAACTAAAAAGCACAAATGAAAAGAGAAAGCGTTCTAAACAGTGTATATCGTTTCCTAAAATAGTATTCGATTTTTTTATCATTTAAACATACTGTTTATGTATTTGGACGGTAAGATGATAAATGGTTTGGAATAAGAAATTTGAAATATTATTAAATATATTGTAATAAATATATTATTAAATGTTATAATAAATTGTATTGCAATTAAAACTAAGACACGTGATCACGTATTCAAATATTATTTCTCTAATTTGTCTCTATATCTGTAGCAACAAACTCAAATGCATGATTGATCTCAAATCTCATGTCTTGTTGTAGTCCTTTGAATTTTAATGATTCATATGATCTTTTGTACTTATCATCATGGATGTGATAAGACAAAATTTCATATATCAGAATCATAAAAATATAAGACTTTAATGACATTAATATATTAAAAATATATATTTGTATTAAATAACTTTGATATATTTGTAAAATCTATGTGATAATCTTTAAAGAGATAAAAGCCCATTTATTTATTAAAACAAATTTAACAAGTCTTATGTAACAACAAAATTCTGTTTAAGTTGTTGATATGAGAAGTCAACGGAATTAATAAGTTTTTGTTAGTGAAGATTGAGTAATACGGTGTCGTTTCATTTCCAAGTTCAAAAATGAATTCAAGGCACACACAGATCAATGCTGCGGGTTTCCAACTACACAGGCTTCAGTAATTTTGTGCTGAATTTTTATCAGAAGTTTGTTAGATTTTGTGTCTCTTTAGTTGTGTTTTTTTTATGCTGTGTTTTTTGCTAAAATTAATGAAAATCATTCACAAAGTCTAGAAATTTCTCTCTGCATTTTTCTTGCCTTTTTCTCACGAAACAAACATAAATCTTATCAATGCTCAGCTTTGTCACAACAGAAAAAATAGAAAAGAAAATATCATTTTTGAGTTGTCGATATCTTATAATAAGACATAGAGAAGAGATTTAACATCTAGGGCCATGGATGGATGGAATCATGGAAATTTACCTTTTCTCCTTCTATTATCAAAGTGAGAAGGGCTCAAGATTAATTACTTATGTTACAAAGACAATTGGTAGCTGCAAATATATGCACGTACTGGTCCGAGATTAATTACTATGAAAGTACCAATGAGCCATTAATAGTGAGATTAATTTATTTCTATGTGGCTACCAACCAAACCTTTCTTCTATAGTATCGTCACTTTTAATTTGTTATTTGATGTTTTTCTCTTAGTCACTATAATTTAATTATTGGGTTTATCTTCTAATAGGGCTTAGGACAATTGCACACATGTAACTTTCGAAACTGACACTTTGTCACCCATAACTTGAGAAAATTTAATGGAAAAATTTTCTGTAAAAGAAGATTAAGAAAAAAAAAAAAAAACCATATATTAAAAAAAAAAAAATTCTACTTGTTTTCGTCCTTGTGGACACTCATTTTAGAGCATTAATATTTCAAATGGTGTTTGTTTTATCATATATATATATATATATATATGGATGGATGTAAAATTTCCACCACCTTATCGGAACCAAGTTTGTTGATTATAACCTTAAACTTAATAACAATCGCTTTTCTATTATCCAAATAATACTTAATATATGCATCCTTTCAGAAGGTATATTTAAAAAATTAAAAATATTTTTTATTATAAAGTGTTTCTCTATGGCTAATATATATTTCTTGAAGTTAATTTACTTTGAAGAAAATGATTTATTTTTCCTTTAAGATAACTTTTATTCTTTTGCTTTCATTGCTCTTCTCCTTCCCTTCTTCCCTTTTTCCATTTTTCAGAATATCTCCTCTCCAAATGATTTATTTATCAATTATTTTTTTAATAAAGGATAATATAGAGTTAAAAGTATTCATCCAAAATTAAATTTGAATGAGATGTATTTAAAACTATTCAATATAGTGATAATTAATCAACAAATTAAAAAAAAAAAAAAGATAAATTTTTTGTAAATTATGAAAAAAGACACAAATTTTCTAGAATTTCAACCAACAGTGTTTCAATGAGATCTTTTATATAGTATTTTCAAAAATAAAGATTCACACCTAGTTAAATAGATCTTTAAGTTTAATTACAAGTTATGACGTAAGATCTATGATTTAACATTGGTTAGAAAATCTATATTTATATTTTATAAAGTATTGAGAGAATATGAATGAAAAAAAGAAAAAGTTTTGATGTATATCATATTGATTACAAAATGAACAAATAAAATTTTAATCATCATCATTTTTATTGTTCTCAAAGGTATCTATCGCTTATTTTCATTCTAAAATTTTAATCTCTCTTGATATTGATTGAAGCAGAAACACCTATCTCATAAAACATTTTATTCATTATAAAAATCTTGATAAGTTACCTCCTCTTGTGGTTGGATGGTAAACTTTTTAGTTACTGAGGTTAATTATACCTATGAGGTTTTGTGTTCGAATCTCACAGGAGAGGTATCTACTACATTTGTGCAATTATCTTGATCTATTAAGCTTATAAGGTGTTCCGTGACCCTGAGGATTAATCAGACTCTAATTAATGTGGGCATAAATACTTCAATTACCTAAAAAAAAAAAAAAAAACTTTCTTGATAAGTTTAAATACATCCAATAGTCACTTGTAAAAAAGAGGGTAAGTCAATGATTTATAATTTTTTGGGCTTATGCAACCATTATTCACGTCTACTAAGTAAAAGTCTTATGAATTGAGCTAGATTTTAATTCGCCAGCAATACAAGATCATGTGATAGGAAGTCGTACTCATCGCTTAGATGATGAAACAATGAGATCCAAAAATAATCTTTAGTAACACCAAAGCAGAGTGACTAGTCGTCACCATAACAGGGACCATATTTGTGTTGATAGAAGCCTACTGACTTGTAATTTATTTTAAGATCCTGTGATTCACACATTCTACTTGTTTTAGACGTTAATATTTCACATGTTGTTTGTTTTGTCGTATATATGGATTGATATAAAATTTCCACAACCTTATTGGAACCACGTTTTTTGATTATGACGAAATATGGAATGGAATGTTATAGCTTTCCCTTTGATCTTAGCATCACTGAGATTAAGAAGATGATTATGGCTTCAATTATTCACCCTAATTCATGTGATTGAGTGAATAATTACAAGAATTGTCTTCCTATTTTATATTCACAAACTTGTATAAATTGCCCAGTGTATGGGCTTACATTAATACACAATACAAACATACAGCAATTCTTTCTCTCTTGCATCGCTTCTCTCTTTTAGGCATTCTTTGACAATATCAATATCTTGAGCTACTCCTCTTGCCTCTCTTTTCTTCGATATCTTACAAATTATAACCTTAAAGTTAATAAAAACCACTTCTCTATTGCCAAATGATATTTAATATATGCATCCTTTTAAAAGGTATATAAATATTTTTAAAAACTAAAATTATTTTTTAATTATAAAGTGTTTTTCTATGGCTAATATATATTTTATCAAGTTAATTTTTATTCTTTTGCTTTCATCTCTCTTCTCCTTCCCTTCTTTCTTTTTTTCCATTTTCAAATATCTCCTCTCTAATTGATTTATTATTATTATTATTTTTATTTTTAATAAGGATAGTATAGAGCCAAAAGTATTCATCAAAAATTAAATTTGAATGAGATGTATTTAAAACTATTCAATATAGTGATAATACAATTTAAATGTTGTATTAATGAATAATCTTAATAATAAACAAGATAAATACTAAATAAAAGTGAAAGACATTGCATATAAATATTTTTCAAATACAATCATAAGTTAAAAGTTATTATGATGTAATAAATATATAGCATCATTTATGTAGAAATTAAATTATTGTTTGGTGCTTTTGTATGTGAAATAAAATAAGGTTGATGGCTCCACTTATCCATAAAATATGGAACTAGGTTCATGTGGTTCATGCTTATAGCCCCACACTTTGGCTAATCGCTCCACTTAATAATATCATCTTCCTGCTATTGACTATTTAGAGACATTTGTAAAATTATTGATCACACATATTACTTTTGTAGTTTTCATTAATGACTCCACTTATTTATTTGAGGAGGTGTACGTGCTTGGATTTTTCTTCCTAATTAGCCCCACACTTCTCAATAATATCATTTGAATGACATTTGTAATATGATGAAACAATTCTTAGTCGTTGAAGAGAAGAAGAGAGAACTCAGAGAAAAGCAATCAAGAGTAATTGAATCAGAAGCTTACATAACTGTTTATATACATTTCCATGTCCCAGGCTGGCGATGAATGGATCTGTCTTTCTAATAATTCACATTAGTATACATCCATTTATCTATTCATCAAGCACACCAGAAAATGGAACAGACTCAATAGAACCGCGAGATTACTAAGCTTGGCACTCATGGGCGTTGCTGAAATCTTTGACAGGGGAAGTAGAAAGGAACTGCTTTACTGCTCATGTCTCCTTGAGACTTGCAGAAATTATTTTTTTCATTTTGTATCCACAAGCATTAAATTTCTCTTCACATTTATTTCTGCTGGAGCTAAACAGTCATAATTTGTTCAGGATCTCTTGTAAGATTCATGACCCCTGATGACTTATCACTTCTCAATCTAAATCTAAATCTAAATCTATGTATGCGTAACTACAAAATCTAAATCCTCTTTCTTTCTTTCATATACTCATTATCATCTACATTCAAGATTAATTTATGTAAATGAATAGACTTATCACTACTTTGTGTATACTCTCGTAAAAAGTAAAAACTAAACTTTTTTTTTTTTTTTTTTTTTTTTGTTATCAATTGAGGGGCATTATTAAAAACTAGAGAAAAAATTACATAAGTCATGTGTATAAATAAATAGACACCTTTATCTATCAACACACATTTTTTTTTATTAATAAACGAATAATATTTTACAATTTTTTTTTTATCAATAAACTAACAATACTTTTTTAAAGATATAAAAATGTTCGTCTATTAATACAAATGGAATTTATGTCCATATTCTTATAATTTCTAAAATAAATATCCAGTTATGATGTAATAGCTATGAGGTAATAGGCAGGGTCGTCTCAAGAACATTTGTGACTCTAGACAAGAGTTACTTTGGTAGCCTTCTAATAACATAAGCATATATTAAAAAAAATTATTTCAAATTTATTTTCTTGTTTTTTGAGATGCAAAATCACTAGGAAAGATGGTCGACGATCGTCAAGCTAACGAGGTAAGGTTGGTAGGGGGTTTTGGAGAGCAGATGTTGGAGAAGCGATAGGTGGTGAAACAAGTAATTTCCAATGCCTGGATTGGCCAGAAAAGGCTTGAGAAGTCGTAGCCCAAAAGGTATTGATGGCCAGCGATTGACGGAGTAAACGAATGAGGTATGATAGAGATTTTGGTGAGAGGGTTGAGGGGAGGAAGATGGTGGTGTCGGGGAAGGCCAACAACATCGGATACATTCTAAAAAGGTCGAAAATGGCTGTCGTGTGCAGTGGAGTTGAGTTATGAGATTTGTAAAAAATTGGCCAAATTGAGGGCTATCAAGGTTGGAAAAATACTTAGAAAATGATAAAGTGATGATTTTTGTCAATTTTGATGAGAAAATCGGTCGGAATCAACTCCAAATGGTTGGCAGCGAAAGACGGGTGGAGATGATTTATGTGAATGTTGAATTTTGGGATGGAATTAGGGTTGAATAATTTGAAACATGTAAATGACTATTTTAGCTTTTTATTGTTAAAAGAAATTCAATGTATTAATTTAAGGGTGTAAATTGGATTATATGAAACTAGAGGTATAAACTTGCTATGTTGTCAATGTCATCTTGGCTGCATCTATTTTAAAGACATTTTTACATTTATCAAAAGCTCTTTTACTATAATAATATAATAGAATTCAACTAGAATGACATATTAAAATAAGAGAAAATAAACGGAAAAGATAAAGAAAAAGAATAAACGAGGATAATAAGGAATTTTAAAAGGTATCATTTATTATGTCAACTCTCGACACCAAAAAGAACAGTTTGAGAAGTGTAAATACCAAATTTGACAAAGTTTTCCTTTCCCACCATGTATTGTCTATATTGTTTGGTTTAGCAACACAAATGCAAAACACTAACTTAATTAACTGAACTGTGAGCACAATTTTTACTTGTCACTTTACAATCTATATGATTTTGTAATTCTAATGTTAATATATGATATTCAATGTAAATAATTATATGAAAAATATACATTAAAATTCTAAGAAAAAATATATTGAACACTACAGTGGGCTGCTGTCTTGATTCCACTAACTAATTTTGAAATTAATCTGGACCGTTGATTTGATCCTACGGTTCAATTTACCATCCCCAACTTTGATCATCTTCCTTAAACCCTAACAGAACCTTATTCATCTTCAATTCTTTTACACAGAGGAGAAGAGTAGACGTTTTTATTTATATAACAGAACACATAAAAGACATAAAAAGCACAGGGAATTTGGACTCAGGCCAACAGATGCTTATAATACATACATGAGAAGCAGAGATTGCAACTGAAGTGACCAAGTACCAGAGAAAACCAGCAACACACAATACAGTAAACAAAGCTCTAATCAGCTTAGGAAACTCCAAGTTGACTCCTCCACTGAACTACATATATATAAAGGGGAGGAATTATTCCATTACAAGGATTGACTCTACACTGTAGTGTTAGTGCAACCTTGTGACACAAACCTTATTTAGTATATAAATATATTATCTAGGATCACTAGGTGCTTGGAGCATCTGGAATTGGAACTTCATATAGCTCCCAACTGCCATCATCATGTTTTTTAGCTGCCAAGTATAAGTCATCACGCCTCGCTTTTCTCCCTTCTAGTTCTCTAATATAATTCTTCAAATTATGAACCTTTTTAAAGGCTTCAGGTAGTGGGAGCTTTTTATTACTCTCATAGGTTGAAAGGGTAGTGTGAATCAGTAACTCTTTTCCCACTGAAGTGAAGTTATAGAATGGAATTTTAGTAATAACGTCATCATTATGTTTAATGTGCAAAAGATGAAGATTCTGAAGTTTTTTGAATTCAAGATGGAAGCCATAGTTTCCAACCACTGGGCTTGCAAACACAATGGCTGTGACCAAACATGCATTTGACCCTGTACGCATATTATATTGATTGGAAACTATATCAGCTGCATTTAATGTTGCAAGTGCTGCACCCAGACTGTGGCCTGTTATTGTTATGCTGACAGCTGGCTCATTTTTGTACTCATCTAGCAGTGCCTTAACTGCATCCCGAACCTACATGCATAGCATTAATGAAAAAGTTAAGTATGATTTATAACTACAATCATAGAGTTGAAGCCGGCTAGAATTTTTTTTCTGCTGGTGTCAATTTTTACTATGCTGGTATGTCAAATATTACTTACCTGAACTCTGGCACTTTCAGTGTATGGCGGGTCAGTCTTTGAACTTGTGTAGAGGGAGTAAAATCCTTGGTGCACAAAAGCATGAGCACTGTTCGGGAACACTTCCACCGCTCGGGTTTGCGTGAATGCGAAATTTCTTTCCCACTCTCCCTTAAAAACAGTACCTCTCCAGCAAATCAGAATGTCTGCCCTTCCTAAAACTTTCTTTCCTATAAGTGTTGTCTTAGCCACGTAACCGATCCAAGTAGATTTGTCCGGAAGTAACCAGTCGGCTTTGGCAGCAACATCTACCCATGCGTAAATGTACTTTATCACTTCGTACAGCGATTCGGCGCTTGGGTTATCTTCTGTTGGGCTAACTTCAGAAAGTAGATGAAATAAGTCCTTTTCTGTATGTCTCGGAAGTCCCTTCTCATCGATGGATCGATAAATAAAATCAACGCTTTTACCACAGTCAATTATACGTTTCCGGAGATCATTTTTGAGGGGGCTCAAGAGACCATCCCAGTTTCTTTGGCCACTAATCTCTTTCCAGATTACAGGGCGAATGATTATTTTGTTGACGACAAGTCCTTGCTTCCATGTACGATTGTGTTCATACATAGAGATTTCCATGTCCACAGGCGTATTACAAGAAGTTACAAACTCACCAAGTCGGATCTCTGTCCATTTTTCTTTTGAGATAGAACTTAAATCTTCTGTGCGTTCAATCGGATCTTGGTTGGGGAGAACGAGCTTCAGCTTCACTGGATTATTTTTAAATCCTTCACAATATTTCTCCATCATTAAGACAACTGAAATTTCATAAGAAGCCCCTGGAGTGAGCATTTTTGTAGGGAATTTATTTTTCACACCAAGCCACCATACAGACACCAATACAGCCATCTCCATTTGATCACCACTGCCAAAAGAGAACTTACAATTAGTAACCTTCCTTTCATGTAGAGGTAATAGAGGTACAACAATATTTAGATATATACATACTTAGTGTCTTTCATGGAACTCCACCTCCAATGACTTATATCCTGTCCCCAATCAATTGAGAGATCCGTTGCATGCAATTCGAATGAGTTAGCACCAGTAATCTTGTCAACCCAAAACTTCTGCAGTATTGAATCAATATTAAGTATTAGTACTGAAGTTAATTGATACTAAATTGTTAGTAGTAACCATATGAAGATGATTCAAGGACTTACCTGCTTCTTGTTGTTCAGGAAAACTCCAGCGTGAAGCTCATCAATCAGCTTATCACGGGCTTTGTCTTTTAGGGATTGATCATCAGCATTCTCAAGAATGAGGTCTAAGTTGTGTGGAAGGTTAACTTGACATGAACCCATCTCGTTACTCTTACCTGATACTCTTCATTGCACACCTAGTATTTATAGGATGAAATGGTCAAATAAATTACTAGTTTATTACATCATTAATTTTTAATCAAATATATAATATATAGATATATAGATAATAGATATATATATATTTTTTTTTTTTTTTTTTTTAAACTGTAATAAAACATACATTAGTTTATTCTTTCTAGAAAATGGTAGGATAAATGTATCCCATCTTGAGTAGTCACTTTATTCTATCAAAAGAGTAAATGACATTCTCAACCCACTACTACAAAAATAAATGGGCATCCGATTTGTTGGCGCCCATTAAAGATTTATTAACAAAAATAAATATATCATAATAAATACATTATTAAATGTTATAATAAATTGTATTGTTATTAAAATTAAGACACGTGATCATGTATTCAAATATTATTTCTCTAATTTGTCTCTATATATATGTAGCAACAAACCCAAGTGCATGATTGATCTCAAATCTCATGTCTTGTTGTAGTCATTTTTTTCTTCTTTTCACATTCATATTATCTTTTGTACTTATTATCATCGATGTGATAGGGCACAGTTTCATATATTAGTAAAATTAAAAATATAATCTTAAAATGAATTGTAAGAATATATATTAAAATCATAAAAATATGAGACTTTAATGAAATTAATATAATAAAAATATATATTTGTATTAAATAACTTTGATATATTTGTTAAATCTATGTGATAATCTTTAAAGAGATAAAAGCCCATTTATTTATTAAAACAAATTTAACAAATCTTTTGTAATAACAAAACCACGGCTCCGTTTGGTTCACAATTGGGTATTTTTGAGAAAAGTTTTCTGAAAAAAGTTAAAAAAAAAAGTTGAATGAGGCGGGTATTACGATGCAGGATTTATAAATTAATAAAATACCCCCTATATTTGTTTATTTACAAAATACCTCCTATAATAAAATCTTAAAAGTTAACAAAAACACCTCCAACCCAATGTCAAATACGGACAGCCGGCCACCACCACCGAAGGGTGGCCGGGTTCACCGTATTGGCGCATGACTGGCTGGATCTTGCCGGTCGTGCGTTAACGACCAAATCTGGCCGTATTTTCTCGTCAACGACGACCAACAAACGGTCGTCATTGATGGTCAACGACGACTGTTTGTTGGCCGTCGTTATAAACCGTTACGGCCAAAGATCTGGCCGTCAACGGCTAGATCTTTGGCCTTAGATCTGACCTTTTCTGGCCAGATCCACTGTGGATCTGACCGGGAAAGGCTAGATCGGCGCACTACCGGCCAGATTCAGCCTGTAGTGCGCCATCCTAACAGATTTCGACCATTTTCCGACAGTGGTGGCCGGAATCTGGTAAATATGAATTACTGGGGTGTTTTTGTAATTTTTAAAAAAATATTTAGGGGTATTTAATTAAATTATAAAATTTAAGAGGTTTAAAAAAAGTTGAATAATATTGGGAGTAGTATTCCTAAAAATCAAAATTTTTGGGTATTTTACTGTTTAACTTTTTTGGGAATACTAAAAGTAGTATTCCCAATTGGCAACCAAACGGAGCCCACATTCTTTTATGTACTTCTTTATATTTCATACTTCTATTCTTATTTCGAAAATTTTCTCTCTCTTTTAGTTTTTAATCACTCCATGTCAAAGGATAATTCAATAGTCATAATTTGTATATCAATCCTTTAATAAAATTTTATTTTATTTTATCAATATTTATTGAAAACAAATCTCCCTTTTTGTCTTATTCTTCATAAGAACAAATTATAATTAATATATAACAAGACAGCTATAATTTATAAACATAGATCTCCAACTCTCTCATTTCATCTCTTTTTCAAAATAATTTTATTTCTTATAAAGCATAACTTATAGGTGTTCTACTTCATTTACATTGTATATAATTTTACTTTATTATAAGGAGAATTAATTTTTGATGAAAAAAAAAATTCTTTATATTTTTAAATCAGTTGTGCAATTCTTTCTTCTTTTAATCAAAATTGATTGTATCGTCATGTTCATAAAAAAAATAAAAATAAAAAAAATAAAAAAATAAAAATCATAAATATTATGTTAAAAATTCAGCCTTCCCCAAACTAAAATCTTGTTTCACCCTTGGAAGTGAAACAATCCAGAGTAATATGAAATTAAGACAAAAATCACAGACAAATATCAATCGAGTAAAGAGAAATAAATATGCGGACAATTTATCCTGATTCACCCACATATAAGTGAAAAAGAAGTTTGTATACTAGGTGTAAAGAGTAAAATCTAATATTACAAGAATTTCTTTTTTTTTAAGCCCCAACCCAATTAAGAATTAAATACTTAGAAAAATCCTTCAATAGCTCTTCATGGAATAAACCCAAACCACCTACGGGCCTAAGGGTGCTACTCTCTCGACCATCGCCTGCTCACCAAGGAGCGGGACCCCCAAATGTATCTATGTGTCCCGTTATTGTTGAAGTGATCGACGACTCCAACAGAAAAAAATAAACAAATAGATTAAAATCTCATGTTGTTGTTTGATCTAAATTATTTATAAACTTAAAAACTTTATTGAAATTGTCTCTATTTATATCTATCACAAATTCGTGATCTATTCATATCTTACCTTTTGTTTCCTTTATCTGCAATAGCTTCTAAATATGTTTGTAGTTATGTCTGTGTATAAAGACGACAACACAATAATAAGAAAAGTTTATATTCACATTGTCCCTATATATGTCTACAACACAAATCCTTTGTTGCACGTGGCATTTATATCATTAAAACAAAAAAATCAATCAAAGAAGCCTACCACGAGATTTCAAGTGCATTATTGAGCGCCGTATGTCTCAGTCTTTTTCTTTCTTCTTTTCACATTCATACTGTTTGTTGTACTTATTAACACTAATATGACAGGACAAAATTTCATTTATCATTAAGATAATAATGATCTTAACATAAAATCCTTAAATACTTTTTAATGAAATTAATATATTATAAATATTTTTTTATTATATATATATATATGATATTATTAATATTTATTTTTTAGACTTAAGGAAGTTAAATTTTAGCTCTTATAATAATACTTCTAGAAATCATGCACTTTTCACATATATCTTTTAAAAATTGAAATCTTATTTCATAGAGAATTCAATAAGAAACCAAAAAGAATTTATTATTTATTAATTTTTTTTTCTTTTTATAGGTGAAAACAAGATTTTATTTTTTTGTTGGTTACTTTTTTAGGCATGCAAAGTCAAAATGCCTAGCAAACAAGTTTTCACATGCATTTGTTCTACACCGTGATTTTGAAAGCAAAAATGTTGCCAAACCGACCTCAATAATTTGAAGGGACAATTATTGCAAGACTTACAAACCATCCTTTGTCTTGTAGTACAGATCTTACATTTTATGTCTCCATTTTCAGCCGAGTCCCTTCTAGATATGCTTGTAGCTATGAGAAACCAGCACAAGCACACACTAAAAACATAATAGTCAATACATAAATATTTTTATTGTAGGTGATAACTTTGTTAATTTTTCAGTTAAACGAAAGAGATATGAAAACAAGCATCTCTGTAAGAATCAAAGAATAAGCCGGACTAAACTCTAATATTACTGTTATATATAATTATGGACAATAAAAATATAATAGACATTAAACCCTAAACTCTAAACTTTAAATGTGATCGACATTGATCGATCTTTAGAAGAATATTTTTCTTAGCATTATTTCCCTTGAGACTCATATTGCTTCAACCATCTGCTAAGTCACTCTCTAATGTATAAAATGGAACTTAACAAAACCATTCATCACTCATATTTTAAAATGCTTCATAAAGCGTGCAACCCATGCATATGATTATACAGACAAACAAGTTTTTTCTGAAAAATTGGTTAGACTAAGCTTCTTCTTAAGCTGCAACAAAACACTCAAACCGCAAGCCGACTTGCAAATGTTTCTCAGGAATTTAAATTCATCTTCTGTTACATTAAGGTAAAAATTTCTCAGATAAAGTGAAAGTACAAAGAGAAAATATTGTCTAGCAAAAAGGCTTAAAATTCTACAGCTAAACTAAGAAAAGGACTTACATGTGCTCTTACTAAGATGAGACTTTTTCGAAGGTAGGGGATCATTTTCTCATATTAATGTGTCCCAAAGTTGTCTCTAAATGTAGAGTTTTACCCAAACCATGACAATTGATCTACTGAATTCCACAATCAATCATCTCCAAACACATAAGCATCAAAACTTCACCTCATCTTACATCTCCAAATTCATCACTAACCAGAACAAAACCAAAATCAAAATCTCAAGACTTGATTGGGAAACTACTGTTTCGACAAAATTAGGGGCGGGAATTTTGTCATGGGAAAATGTATTTCGGCCTTAATTATTTTGATGATATATGTCTGTATTAATATATTATTATTAGGGTGCGTTTAGTTCAGGAACTATTAGATTACTGAGAATGTTAGATTACTAGAATCTTATATTGCCTTGAAGATTATTAGGAATCTTTAGAAAAATGTGTTTGATTAGTTGGTGGGTATGTTATATTAATATGTTTGATTAGGGAGAATAAATTAATGGGTATATTATTTAAATTATTAAATTGCTCTCTTTTTAAATATTAATATAATATTATTTTTATTATTAATTTCTGAATAATTTCTTTTAACACCCAATATTTCAGATTTAGCTAAAACACCTTCGCTTATATAAAACTTTTATTTATGACAAAATCACCCGCACCCCCTAAAGCCACCCCAAACCACCGTTGGAAGTCGTCTAAAGTCACCTTGACTGCGAGGCTCCGATACGGCTGTTTCTGGCCATATTGATGATTGAAAATGGACATATTAGGCCAGATCTAGTCGGAAATTGCCAGATCTATTCTGGCCATTTCAGGCTAGATCGATGGAGTTGGCCGTTAACGGCTAGATCTTTGGCCATTATTAGCCAAATCTTGCCCACATCTGGCCGCTAA